GTTTTATATTATTATTTTGCACTTGAAGTATCAATAACTCCTTAACTAAAGCATGTTTTATAACAATATATCTAATAATATAAGATACCTTTAATTTGTGGTAAATGTTCATTTTAAATGCAGGCCTATCACATAAATGAAAGGATTGATTGATGACTTGAAGAACTTAAATTGCAAGGATAAAGAGATAGCCAAACTTAGAAAAGAGATGTCGGTGCAATCCAAACCGGAACACTGTTCGGTAATTGGGTCATATCTGGAGAGATGACCAAAATTAGAAAAGAGATGTCGGTGCAATCCAAACCGGAACACTGTTCGGTAATTGGGTCATATCTGGAGCTATAGATCTCAGATTTAGGTTTACTTTATATGGATGGAAAGGTAAGACATAGGCCTACAACTTTCATATGGAGCCCAAGATCTAAAAATGCCATTTTCAAGTCCAAATTATTGCAAAAACAAAGAAGCCTGACGCTGTCCTCCAGCCCGAGCACTGTTCAGTATTTTGGCCATATTTGGAGTTCTAGATGTCCAAATGAGCTGAAGTTTTACACAAGAAAGCTGAGACAATTGCCTACAACTTTCATGTTTTCAAGTGGCTCCAATTTTAACGTTATTAATGACGTTTTGGGCAGACAAGAAAAGATAAGGATTGTCACCAAGTCAAGAGTTGGCCACCCACTCATCAATTAGTCATCAAATCAATAGTTCCCAATTTTGGCCTATAAAAGGAGGCATTTGCCATGCATTTAGGCATCTTGGTTTCCAGATCAAGATCATGCTCTTCCTTTCTCTCTTTGTATTTTTTGTAATGTTTATGCTTTGCTTTCATTAATATCAAGTTTATGCCTTTCATTTCCTTTCCTTTACTTAGTTAACTTTTATGTTCTTATTTTGTTTATTTATTCTTTTTTCTTTCATTATGTCTAGCTAAGTTTATTATGTCAAGGTGAAAAGGTTACACTAATGGTGTAAGAATAAATATAGTGTAAACTTAATATGGACTTTAATGTTTGATACTAACATGTTTTGTATTTGTTATCTTGTTCACTCTTTAATACTTTGCTTGTTAAATGATTAATCTTGATTTATGTTGTATAACACTTGGTACAACAAATGCTTGGCTCTTTCATAGCCCATAATGTATGGTATAACCGACACCTGAGCTATGAGAGGAACTTGATTTGTTGTTAACATAAGTTATAATCATGAATGCTTGACGAGATTTACAAGTATTAACATTAATCGAATAAGATGACTAATGTAATCATGCTAACAAT